ATTTATAGAATATAAGACAAATAACATATTGTTCGTATATTTAATGTCGTTCTAATCGATTAATTTGCGATATTTTTTTACTATATATAAGTTCCTTTGTATGTAGCGTAAAATAATATTTATTTGTTAGCTATTTTATATGTCAGTTATTGGTCAGGGAGCAATCTTCTCAAGGATCCTCCATGACAATCGGCATTGCGCCCATCGAGCAAAATATCAACATCGCTTTGGAGTCACATATCGCTATGTTGAAAAGCAGCATTAGGTGTGTGGTCTGGATACCTCAGTGGTCTAGAGCAGTTGCTCGGAAAGCGAAAGACTTGGGTTCGATTTTTGATCCAGCCACTTGCACTTCACATATTTTTCTAGTCCGCGAATATTGTTTTCTAGCAATTATTCGTTGGGCTAAAAAATGTGTGAATGCTTTCTTCACAGAATATGCGTCGATGCCATTGCCAAGGATGGATTCTGTCGCTCGTTGATCAAATAATGTCCACACGTCCGACCTTTTCCCTCACACATCCCTATCTTTTTTGGACGGATAGTTTATTGATTTGATAGATATTATGATAGAGAGTTTCGGAATATCTTTATTTTCTATACTCTTTTTAAAGAGAATTATTTATATTAGAATTAGTTTATTGAAAATAAATGATTATTTTATTTATTTTGTTTTTATTTTTAAAAAATGCGTATTGAAGTTAAAACCATTTAGAATTCAACCTATATAATTTATATATTTGATACTCACTTTTAATTTTCTTCGAGAAATTTGTAAAGCAAATTTCAAGTTAAACTGCAATGAAAAGTTGCACGTTAAATTATGCTATACAATGACGTACCAATATTCAGTTCTGTATTTATAAAACAGTCAAATAATTATATAAAATTGCACATGTTATTAAGTTTTTTTGCAACAAACTAATTTTCAAGTAATTGCACCTTTTAAAATAGACTATCTACAAATAATGCATTTTTCATCTTGATACAAATAAATTTTAAAATTTCGTTTCTGATACCTTATTGTGAGTTTAAAAAATAATTTTAAATTCTTATAAAGAATATATGAAAAAAACATTTTTATTAGTAATTATTTAATACAAAATAATATAAAAAGTATATTAGAATTCATCAATATAAATATTACATAATGTGACATATAAGATGAAAAAGAAGTACAATACAATACATATATGTATACAGGGTCTACCAAAAGTGTGGAAACCCCTAAATATCTCGGAAAATATACGTTTTACAGAAAAGTGTTTCCAACAAAAGTTGTAGGGTTTAAGAAGATCTATATACTGATTCTATCAGTTTGACCTTGGATGGCGTCGTCAAGGTCAGGTCAAGGTCACATTGACTTTTTTAAATGACACCCCCTACATTTGATTGCATATTCTTATAGCTTAATTCAAGAGCTTTCCAAAACACTATAATAATGTTCATTTTTATTAAGTACTTTGCGAGTTATGAGGGTTGAATGATAGAGTAGCGCCGGTATTAACATTATCCAAGGTGTACTACATGGAGGTTACTCGCTCGGATTTGCATCTGTTGTGTGTGTGATCCAGCTAACTAAGGCAAGATCGGTCGTGGATCCAGTCAGCAAAAGCAAAGACCCAACCAAATTACAATCGAGCATTTAAAGACCTGGAAAGCAATCGACATAGTAAACAGTAAATAAATTTGTGGATGCTCATTTATCATAATAATTGTTCGAAATGTGTGCGTGTGCGTGCGTGCGGTGCGTGTATACAGAGATCAGGTTAGGTTGCACCAAACGATTGCAAATGTGTTTCAATGTGTTAAAGTAAATGCTGAAAGTGGCTGCCATTTACTTCCTGACAATATGCTAATCTTTGGTAGAATGTAGAAATGACTTTACGATTCGTTTCAAAAGGTATCAAAGCCATTTCATCCCTTATTCGCTGTATCAATTCGTGAATGGTTTTAGGTTTTGTTCTGTAAACCTTACTCTTCAGATATCCCCATAGATAATAATCAAGAGGAGTTAGATCTGGTGACCGAGGTGGCCAATCCTCTCCTCCCTCATTTCCGTTCCTTCTTCCTATCCACCGTAGCGGAAAAGTCTCATTTAAAATACGACGTGGTCCTGCACCAAAATGAGCAGGAGCTCCATCATGCTGAAACCATATTTCTTGGAAATTATTTGGAAAAGTATTCTGTATGGCTGGAATTATTTGATCAACAAGTAATCTCTCATACCTTTGAGCGTTCAAATATTCTTCAAAAAAAAACGGCCCTATTAAATAGCCATCTATTATTCCGCACCATACATTTATTTTTTGTGGATGTTGTGTGTGAGTTTCCCGCACCCAATTCGGATTCTCATCTGACCAGAAACGAAAATTTTGATTATTAACTTCTCCCGTTAAGGTAAAAGTTGCCTCGTCTGTGAAAACAATTTGATAAGGGAAGATGGGCCGGACATCTATTAGTGCCATCATTCTTTCACAGAAATGTATACGACGCTCCTCATCTCCGTTTTGCAATTCTTGAACGTATTGCAATTTATATGGATGGAACTTGTTCTTCTTTAAAATTCTCCAAACCGACATGGGAGCAATATCGTGAGTTTGAGCGACTCTCTGAACACTAGAATTGGGATCTTCAATAAATGTCTGCAGAACATCAAGTTGTTTTTCTTCGTTGGTTGCAGACAATGGTCTTCCTGACTTAGAGCGATTTCTTACGCTACCAGTTTGTCTAAAACGTTCTATTGTTTTTAACACAGTGGACTTATTAATTCGACGGTTCGGATACGTGTCATTAAATAATCGAACGACATCAGAGAACGATCTTTCGTTATCACCCCATCCACGCATCATGAGGATAGTGATTCTTTCACGTTCCGACAAGTCGCCAGCCATTTTTAAAACGTTTAATTTTAATTAATCGTACGTTGTATTTGGACGATAACAATTAATTTCTGCTTGCTCAAAGCTGAAGTTAGAAGGTGCTCGTTCTTTGATAGCTTTATACATTCTTAGTTGAATTTTAAATGCGAGTTAGACTGCATGTAGTGCGTCACATAGCGGTAAATGAAGGAACTAACGAGACGTTTCATACACGTTTTATGGAGCAATTTTTTGGCAATTTGACTTCAGCGAAATATGAGGATATGTTGAGGAATCGATCTTGCCTTAGTTAGCTGGATCACACACACAACAGATGCAAATCCGAGCGAGTAACCTCCATGTAGTACACCTTGGATAATGTTAATACCGGCGCTACTCTATCATTCAACCCTCATAACTCGCAAAGTACTTAATAAAAATGAACATTATTATAGTGTTTTGGAAAGCTCTTGAATTAAGCTATAAGAATATGCAATCAAATGTAGGGGGTGTCATTTAAAAAAGTCAATGTGACCTTGACCTGACCTTGACGACGCCATCCAAGGTCAAACTGATAGAATCAGTATATAGATCTTCTTAAACCCTACAACTTTTGTTGGAAACGCTTTTCTGTAAAACGTATATTTTCCGAGATATTTAGGGGTTTCCACACTTTTGGTAGACCCTGTATATATATATATATATATATATATATATATATACACACAGTAAAAAGTTTTATTAAATTTAACATATTTCACATGTCCCAATTTATCCACTCTAATTTTAATGTTAATTTAACAGAAGGCAAGAATGTAAATAAATAACACAAGTAATATGATTAAAAATTAACACAAAACTGTAACACTTAAACTTTACCTAAATAAATAAGGAAATACAGTTTATGTTAAATTAAAATATTTATAATGTTAAATTTTGTTTATGAACGAGCGAAATTTGTTCGTAAATCTTGACCGCCGCCTTCCTCTGAGAGAACGAGAGGCAGCGAAACGGTAGGAGAGTGTTACGGAGAAAGAGAGAGAGAGAAAGAGAGGGAGAGGGAGAGGGGAGGGAGGGAGAGGGTGGGAAGGAGAGGGAGGGAAGATGGGGAGGGAGAGAGAGAGGGAGAGAGTGGAAAGAGAGGGGAAATGGAGATGGGGAGAGATGGAGGTGGGGAGGGGAGGGGAGGGGAGAAAAGAGGGGGAGGGAGGGAGAGAAAGGGAGAGATGGGGTGGAGGGGAGGAAGAAAAGGAGAGGGGGAGAGGGGAGGGGAGAAAGGGAGGGGGAGAGAGAGAGAAACTGGATAATTATAGATTGAAAGGAAGTAACGATTGAATTTAAATTTAATTATCACTGATAAACTCAACAAAATCTTAGATCTCAGAATCGGAACGGTTGCTGTTTGAAATAGCTCGATATATCGCTGACTCGCACGTGTTTGAATAGACTGTCGAAAATTGATTGTATGTCGATCCCTGACCGTCGCGAATTTATATACAATTGCAGACTTCTAGAACGTTCGTCCAAGTAGAAAGGGAATCCTGAGTTTATGACACATGATGGCTTAAATTCAGTCGAGCCGAGTCATACTAATAAGAAATAAATCAGAGAAATAAGAAATAATAAATATGAAACGGATTTATGATCCTCAATTATCGATTGTTTGCTCGGAGAACAATAATTCCGACATGCAAGACTGACTGTTTTAATCGAGATATAAGGCAAAATATTTAAATAACGATCGAAGCTTTACATTTACCATAATATAAATTAACAAATATTATATTCTAATATAATTCTACTTAACGATTTAACATACTGCCCGCCTCGAAACGTTAGTTTCGAAAGCTTAAGAGTACAGAGAAAAGAAAGAGAAACTTTAAAATTACATTGATTCAAGGCGAAAGATATGTTAATTATATGAATCTGTATAAAATCAATCAAGATTTATACTTATTCGATATTGGGAAGTAGACATAGCTTTACTACCGGACGCTTATATTCGGATGCGGCGGTTTTTACAGTTACAACTCGTACAATGTTGTCAGAATCTGGGTGACATTTAATGACGCGACCTAATTCCCACTTATAGGGCGGAAGCAAGGTATTGCGAATCAGCACTAATTGGCCGACTTTAATTTAAATTTTGGGTTCTTTTCGCCATTTGACCCGTTGTTGTAACGTGTTTAGATAATCGCTCTGCCAGAACTTCCAAAATCTTTCTGTCATTTGACGCACCAATTGCCATCGCGACAAACGGTTTTCGTTAATGTTTAATAATGAGGGTTCGGGGTTGGCATTCAGAGGAGTGCCTATCAGAAAGTATCCCGGAGTTAGTGGATTATAGTCGTCGATCGAATCTGTGAGCGAGGCTAAGGGTCGCGAGTTTAGACAGGCTTCTATGTTGCATAGAAGCGTTGAGAATTCCTCAAACGTCAGGGTATGAGCGCCGACGACACGACGGACATGATATTTCACACTTCGTACGCCGACTTCCCACAGACCGCCGAAATGAGGTGCGGATTGCGGGATAAAATGCCACGTGATTTTTTGAGAAGCCGCTTGGTTGAGAAAATTTGAATCCTTTTTTGTAGCTCGAAACACTGAAGCTAATTCGCGATCGGCGCCGACAAAGGTGGTTCCATTATCGGAATATATCATTTCTGGTAATCCGCGTCGAGCGCAAAATCGCGAAAGGGTTCTTAAGAACGCATTGAATAACCTTCAACTAATTCAAGGTGCACAGCTCGAGTAGCCAGGCACACGAATATAGCGATATATGCTTTTTGAGAGGCGAACCCCCTACCGGACATAACTCTTATTTGGACGGGACCAGCGTAATCTAGTTCGCAATGTAAAAATGCGCGACCGGGGGGGGGGGGGGAGAAACGCGTACTGCGGGCAGATTTCCCATAAGATGGTACAGCGGCCTTTTCGCGAGTGCATTCTTACATTATGAGTTCTTACATTACAGCGAGCTCGCACAACCCAGCAATTTCGGCGCAGCGTCGATAGGGTCAGCTGCATTCCAGCGTGCAACTGTTGCACATGAATGTGTCGAATTATCATTGTGACTAATGGATGGTCTGCTAATATTATTGGATGTTTAATATGAAATGGAAGCGGCGCGTTTGACAATCGCATGAATTAATTCATCTTCCCCGATGAACGGATTAAGCGAGATGATTGAACTTTTTGATGAGATGGGTTGATTTTGTGAGAGAGCAGCTTTCTCGGAGGGAAAATTCTGTTCTTGAATTTGTTTCAACCAGAAATTTCGCGCGGCTTGACATTCGGCGACGGAGAGAGCAAAACACGGTTCGTTTAAATCCACGCGACGGTGAGTTGGAAGGCGACTTCGCGAAACAAATCGCAGAATGTATGCGGTGACTCTGATTAACTTTGACCATGAAGAATATCGCATGGCTAAATCCCATCCCTCTGCGCGATATGCATTGTTTCGCAAGTATTTCGCTCGATCGAAACCTCGAGCTCGGAGGCCGTGTCTTGCATTGGCCACTACAACTCCGGAAGACGCAACCATGGAGGGCCGTGCCACCATAAGTGATGAGTCGAAATTTGACTTCCCAGTAATCCTCGAGATGCACAGTCCGCTGGATTTTCTTCGGTCGCGATATGTCGCCAAGACGCATCTGGAAGTCTAGATTGAATTTCTGATACGCGATTCGCGACGAAGGTCTTCCATTTCGACGGATGTTGCTTGACCCATGCTAATACGACTGTTGAATCGGTCCAACAGTAACACGGCACGGAGGTTCAGGGAAGTGCGCGTAAATTCCATTAATCTTGACAATAATACGGCGGCTGCTAACTCCAAGTGCGGGATACTTAAAGATTTTATAGACGCGACTTTGGATTTTCCACTGAGTAAAGTTACTTTAATTTCACCGGAAATAGATTGAAGACGGAGATATACAGAGACGGCATAGACCGCTGTGGATGCGTCGAAGAATCCATGCAGCTCGCATTGCAAAATGTGAGATCCGTTATAAGTCCAGCGAACGACCGTTAAATCATTCAAATCGGACAAAGACGTTTGAATTGTTTTCCATTGTTCTAAGAGGTGAGATGAGAGTACAGCATCCCAATCAAGTTTAGTTTGCCAGAGCTGTTGCAGAAAAATTTTAGCTGAGACGGTAACTGGAGTACACCAGCCTAAGGGATCAAACAATTTCGCGACCGTAGATATAATCGATCGTTTGGTGTTTGAGAGAGTCGTTGGAAGAGATGCCCGAAATTGAAATACATCTAACGAGGGTTCCACGCGATTCCGAGAATTTTTAGTTGTTCGTCAGATTGTAGATTTTTGTTACAGGCTAAACCATGATTCTCGATATCGATATCTTCGAGCAATTTAGACGAAATACTCATTTGCGAAGCTCGAATTTGCCGCGATGCAGTAATTCGCATACTTGATCTCGAGCTTGTCACAAAATAGGAATATCGTCGGCACCGAACAACACATCGTCGATGTACATGTTATGCTGCAAAATGTGAAAAGCTATAGGAAATTTGTTCCCTTCGTCGATAACGAGTTGGCAAAATACGCGTAAAGCTAAACATGGAGCCGCCGCCGTATGTGACCGTTAAGAGTTGATACGCTTGTATTGGTTCGTTACTATTTTTTGCCCACAATATCCGTTGATAGACAAGATCGCGACAATCGATTTTAATCTGACGATACATTTTCACGATATCGGCAGAAATATACGTAGCGATGTTGTCGCTAACGAAGAATCACTGCCGCTAAATCGTTTTGGAGTTTAAAGCCTATCAGTAAATGATCGTTTGAAGAAGTCGTGTTCATGGTGTGACACGAAGCATTAAAAACGACTCTTAAATGTGTCGTAAGACTGTTCTCCCGAATTATGGGATAGTGAGGAATGTAAACGCATTGAGATTCGCGAAGTTATGCTGGATCTTTCTCATATGCCCTAAGCGTTCGTATTCGTCCATAAATTCGGTGTATTCGGTTAGCAAGAGATTTGCGGCTAACCTTCGGTGTAATGTTTTAGTTAGTTGCTTCGCAAAATTATAGGAGTCGCCAATTTCGATCGGAGGTCCTTTTTTAAATGGGAGGCGAACAACATCCCCCGTCAGAATCTCGCGAATAAGTTGAGATAAAATAATTTTCGCATTGTTGCTCTTCCAGCGTGAGCAGAGTTTGACGGGGAATTTCTTCGATCTCCCAAAACCGACGAAGCTCGTTATCGAGATTTAATGAGATCGCGCTGTGTTGAACCATTATAGTATGAAGATGGAATTGATGTGGGGCCTGAGAGGACCCAACCTAAAATTGTTTCCTGTGCGATCGGTTGACCGCTTGGGGCTTTTCGAATTCCATTAAGAAGAAGAAGTTCGCTGTATAAATCGGCTCCAATAAGAACATCAATCGCATCGGAGCTTAAGGGATTTGGATCGGCGAGATTGAGATCGGTCAGATGTTTCCATTCGACATTCGATGTGGAAAGCGCTGGCGAATACGCGAGTTAATCATTTTAAAATAGAGGCGGTAGCCGAAATAGTGGGACGCGATTTATTGAAAGGCGAGATATTAATTGGCGCAGCCCACCTACAAGTTCCAGCATTGATACCTCCGACGCTTGAAATCGCGATAGGCAGGTTAACGCGCTGTAATTTTAACGCGTGGCTAAGTCTCGAGGTGATAAATGTCATTTCTGACCCTTGGTCAAGCAGCGCTCTAACAAGAGTGCGACTCTCTCGAGAGTTGATCTTGACGCGGGCTGTGGTTAATAAAACTGAGGGCCGCGACGGAACGGTTGAACAGAGAGCAGTGACTGTCGAAGTATCTACGACGGAGAGGTTGCAGTTGTAACATTAAGATTTCCATTAACATGTAACATTAAGGTTGATTCTGACGTCGATTCACGATGCAACATCGAATGATGTTTTTTCTTGCACGTTCTATAAGAATATTTGCTCGTACACGACTGAACCGCATGTTTCGCACTTAAACAATTTAAACAACGATTCGCTTGTTTAATTATTTCGGTTAAATCGTTGAGTTGGGCTCTTTTGTACGAATTTTGCGCATTTATTTATAAAATGAGGTGCATTACATAACGGACATGTGACATTGGTCGCAAATGCCGTGGTCGCGACCTTTGTTGAGCGCACGGTTTTTATGTTGGACGACATTAATTTTTCGAGAGCGTAAGCTCGAGACGCGAGGAAACGGTCTAAATCTTCATAGGTAAGAATTGTCGTGCTATTGCTTCCCTTTAATCCTCCACGCTTTTTGTGTCGCATGATCCAACTGCTGAGATACGCGGAAAACTAATAAGTCACTTAACATTTTGTCCGCAGATCGGCTTAAATTTTTTAAGAACGCGATTGCGCGGTTGGCTTTATCGCGAAGCTCATTAAATTCTATTGCATTTTCGCGTGAAACGTTTGGTAAATTATAAAGATCACTGACGTGCGATTCAATTAATCGCCGCTTATTCTCGTAGCGTGAAACGAGCGTTTTCCAAATCGCTATTTCAAAATTATCAGCGGTAATAGGTATTGTTTTAATCGATTTGAGAGCGCGGCCGGTTAAGCATGACCCTAAGAAATACACGTGCGAACGCAGTAAGATCTTTATTCGAAATAATTAATGATGTAAATCGACCGCGGAAACTTGCCCACTAGTCGTAATTTCCGCTAAATGGGGGAATTTTAATCGGCGGCAAATGCGATAAAGAAAAAGATGAGATGGATTCACCCTGGCTGAATATTCTGCTAGACGACTGAAGGGGGTCCCCGGGTGGTTCAATATCCTCGAGACACTCTGCCATGTAGTCCAACGTATTCTGGTAAACGTCCTTGTGTTTGTCGAACATCTGGTCCTTGAAATAAGCTACGTCCTTCCGTTTTTCCCCTGAGATGGCAGTCTGAAGAACAGCGTGATTTTGAATGCACTGCGCCTATGTTTCTTTTAATGAAGGGATCAAAGAAATATAATCGACCAAACTAGCCAGAAATTAATTTATTAGTACGACGTTTCGACCATATGGTTGTGATCCTTATCAAGTATATACTGGAAAGATTATAAATGATTACTGAATTAGTTAACGGTTTGAATATATAGCACGCTCAACGAATTAAAATATAACAATTTTAGTATACCGATGTAATAAAAATCAGGAGACCGGCATGGATGATTATCTTGTAAATTGCACAAGTCACATTAAACAAAAACGTTGTTTTAACTAAATTTGAATTCGAGAGAAATTAATGCGTCTGTGAGAGACTTCGTCAAGAGACTAAACAATAACGATATGAAAACTGAACTACGTGATCTTTATTACTTTGTCGTAAATATTGTTTAAACTATCCGTGTCTTTCTGTAGGTTGATTAAATTATTAAATTTCTTGATGAAAAACATCTCAGCAATTTCTCTCTTTCGTACATAGTTTTCATTATGCAAGATATCGGGTTTCAACTAGTCGAAATCGTGTCTGGATTCCAATCTATGCTTGCTAATGACGGAGTGATTAGATTCGTGTAGCTTTATATTATTACAATGTTCTTTCACTCGCGTACGTAAATGTCATTAATTTAAAGTATCTTTACAACAAAATCAAAAACATTGAAAAACGTCTTTTTGAATGCTTACCATATGATATGATTTAGT